TATACCGAGGCAAAATCTATGTGCCGAAAGCAGATAATAAGGAATCACTTAGACGAGAAATCGTTCAGCGTCATCATGAAGCTGCCAGTGCAGGTCATCCTGGAAGATGGAAGACATATGAGATGTTATCTCGTAACTACTGGTGGCCGGGAATGTCCACTTACATCAAAAAGTATGTTGGTTCTTGCGACCTTTGTCAATGCAACAAGAACATCAATCAGCCAAAATACGGAGAATTACAGCCAAATGAGGTTCCAACAGAACCTTGGAAAATTGTCTCTGTCGACTTAATCACTCAATTACCAGAATCCCATGGATTCAACGCAATTATGGTAGTTGTCGATCGTTTGACCAAATGAGCACACTTCTTTGCAATCACCAATGAGTTCTCATCATCAGATCTTGCTCGTACTTTCTATGAGAGGGTATGGACACAGCATGGTCTTCCGAGACAGATTATCTCGGATAGAGGTACTCAGTTTGCAAGCGCATTATTCCAAGAAGTATGCAAGCTCCTTGGGATACAATCAACAATGTCATCCGCATATCATCCGGAGACCGATGGTCAAACTGAAAGAACAAATCAGTCACTAGAGCAATATCTTCGTATTTATACAGATAAACGCATGGAAGACTGGAGTACTTTACTTCCAACTGCTGAATTCACCTATAACAATCAGGCTTCTGAAGCCACTAAGAATTCACCATTCTTTGTCGAATACGGTAGACATCCACATGCAGAACCAACAATAATGGACCCTATAAAGCATAATACGCTAGATTCCATAATGCAGGCACGAGTAGAAGCGCAAGAGCAAGCAAAAGCAGCCATTCTATTGGCAGCTGAGCGCATGAAGTGGTACTACGATCAATCCGTACGACCCGCACCTTTCAAAGTTGGAGATCAAGTATTACTCTCCACTAAAGATTGGCAGACATCGGGAGCCAAATTGGCACAACGGAGAGATGGACCCTTTGAAATCGTAAAAAAACTAGGACCAGTCACATATAGACTCAAAATGCCGCGACAATACGGCGTTCACCCAGTTTTTCATGCGTCCAAGCTCACGCTCTACCACAAAGATGAAATACCAGACCGCACTCTCAGACCCCGTCCTCCTATCAAGAAGAAGACTGGCAAAGAATGGGAAGTCGACTATATAGTCGACTCTCATGTCATTCGTGGCAAACTTCAATATTTGGTGCATTGGAAGGGTTATTCTAAAGCCGAAGAAACTTGGAAACCCGCAGCAAATTTGAAGAAATCTCCGCGTCTCATCAAGGAATTTCACAGAAAATATCCTGACGCACCTCAACCAATATCTCTCATTGATACAACTCCGGTCGATGGCGTTTTTCCACCCAGAAGAACGGGTCAAGTCTACGACCCCGCCACTGATACCATTCAGATATACGATCAGGATAGAGATGATTGGGATCATTCTAGAGATCTTCAAATTACATTAGACAATCCAAATGCACACGCACCAAAATATGCTCATGAAGACGATGCTGGAATGGATTTAGCCACATCAGAACCAACAACCATCCGAGCACACTCAAGAGGATTGGTATCCACAGGACTTCACTTTACAACACCTCGAGGGACCTATGGTCAAATTGCACCACGAAGTGGGTTAGCTGTCAAAGGCATTGATGTAGGTGCTGGTGTTATCGACAGAGGATACACAGGCGAAATCAAGATTTTGCTAATCAATAATACAAATGATGACTTCACAGTCAATTTGGGCGATCGAGTTGCTCAACTTATCATTGAACGTATTATCACCCCTGTCGTTTCACTGGTTAATTACCTCAAACCCTCAGCCCGTGGTCACCGTGGATTTGGTTCAACAGGCGATAATTACTTCCAGAAACCACGCAAAAAGCCAGATTCAGGACGAACTGTCTAGAAGGGGGGGTACTGTCACAGATTTTCACGTTTTCACCTCTGCACGTGACCAAGACATCATTTGACATCAGCGCTAGGCTGTTCAGAAAGGAACGAACCGGTACGCGAAGTACTAACAGTCCTAGACGCCCCGAAGGTCCAGGTCTAGTCACGTGACATATCACGTGATATCCACACATGTGACAAGTAGCGCTGGTATTAGGTAAGCCTAACTTATACAGTAATATCATCCCACCTAGAAGCAACGGTCGGACTCCGGAAGAATCCAACAAAGGGGATACACGCCACCGGAGATATGTCCTTAAGGGGATATTAGTTCACATACACGAGGTAGATAGATACCACGCCACCGGAGATGTAGCCATTACAGGCAATACCATTCCCATGGTCTTACTAAGTAGTTCGGAGGTTCGGCATGCATGACACACGTAGTCTGACAGGTGGTGGTAACCAATCAGACAATGTCCATTAGCTAGCGGTTCTGGGGTATCAGGGTACCAAGGGTCCCTTCGCTCATGTATATAAGCCAGAGCTCTGAGACGCATAAGTCCCCCAGACTTATTCTCATCTCTGCTACGCCTATCCATACAGTGTTACCAGTGCTCACTTGCAAGGCACTGCTTTATCTTGATCATCTTTGTGTCCATCCTTACTTCGACAACAGTCAG